AATTAATCATAGTTAAGGATCAGAAGCTCATGAAGGATTCATATAAAGTTCATATATATATATATATATATATATATATATATATATATATATATATATATATTATTCCAGGATCATTTCACAACTTATACAGCATGATCTTCGTCCTCTCTAACCTTCTAACTTTCTGTCCTGGAGTAACAAGGTGCCTCACAGGTTTCACGCACGATTTCATTTCCATGACTTGTTTCACTGCTCATTGGACTGTCATAGCCGAAACCCCCCTCTCACGTGCCAAACGTCTTATGGACTGAGTTGGATCTTTTCTAACTGATTTCTTTAGCTTAAGTTAAAATGATGAGTCCTCTTTCAGTTGTAACCACCTGATCCAGTTTTCCTCTCTACTGTTCCATCTTTTTAAATTTATTCACCGTTCTCTTGATGGTTCTTGAATGGACTTCGAAGGTGGAAGCCAGAGTGTGAAAAGAACCTACATTAGTTTAGTGCTTCTTGAGATATTAAATATTTTGTGGCATGGACAATTTTGCTGTTACACGATTTGGACAATTTTGCTGTTACACCCGGTATATATTACCACGACATTTAACACATACGCTCATGCACGCGCATACATACGCACACACATACGCACAAGGGCAAACAAGCACACACGCACACATATAAACACACAAAAAAAATCAACCTGAGATGAGGAAAATTATCCACGTGAAAATAGTGTAAATAATATATGATGAACTTGGAAAATAGACAATACGATCAGAAATAATCATTAATTTTTTTTTTATCCATTACTACAGATTATGAATATTAAAATATTTTTAGTTTATTTTTTTACGGCTTATCAACTCTTTTTGGGTTATTTAAAGCCGGCACATATTTTTTTCGAATGATTATTGTATTGGCAGTTGCTGGGATATATCAATAGTTTTTAGCACCACACGCTCATTCGATTGTGAAAAGAAAAAAAAAATTAATAAATTTTATAAAAGTTATTAAAGATGGGGTAGTTTACCGTGTAAATCCATTGTAAATTGATCGTCCTACGGAAGCCAAAACAAAATATACTCATACGACGTGATTTCTTAAAATATAGAGAAAAAAGATTTATTTAATTTTTAAACTGGAGTTCGTTTTTCATATATTACTATCGATTAGGTAAATCTAGATTATGAATTTATGAAAATTAACAAAGAATACATTTTACGGAGTCAGCTTGTATGGGCGTATTTTTTTCCTTCGGTAGGGGATATCAATTAATTTAAAGAACAAAATGAAGACCCTATTAAATTTCATAAAATTTAATAAAAAAATAAATTATTTTTGATATACGTGATTTCAAGTGTTTAATGTATTTTTTAATTACGTTATATTTACCTTAATATAATATAATAATATAATATTTATATGATATAATATATAATATATCTTATATATTAATATTAATATATAAAATATATTAATATAAATAATATATTAATATATATAATATATAATATATTAAACATATTAATATAAATATATTAATATAAATAATATATTAATATATATAATATATAATATATTTTATATATTAATATAAATATATAACTATAAATATATTAATATAAATAATATATTAATATATATAATCTATAATATAAATAATATATTAATATATATATAATGTATAATATAAATAATATATACATATAATATTTATAATATGATATATGGAAGAAAATATGAAAGAAATGCTAAAGAAAATATGAAAGAAATGCTAAAGAAAACATCATTATTTTTGGTCGCAGTGCTTACTGTAGATCATTGTCATCAACATCATCATCTATCTGTGAAGGAAGGCAAACATAGTTGTCTCCCCTTGAACTACTTAATAAAAGAAATGGTGAAACCTCGCTTATGAGCAGTCGTCAAATTGCATTGAATAAAGGAGCTTCGTTGCAAGCTTAAACGTCTGTTTGTTTTCATTTACAATATTGAAGTTCGTTTTAAAAACTTGTCTTTAAACGCACTTTTTTCCTCTCGTTCTTATGCTGAATTCTCACGATCAAATCTCACAGTCAAACAAAAATAGTGAAGCAAGGATTGGTTCTCTTCTGTTAAATGTTGCAATTCCAACTGAGAAGGTGACAAAAAAATTGCAGTCTGTATATTATCGTAGGATAGCTGAAGAGAATATCAACGAACACATTACGATAAAAACATGTTTGAATAAACTACAGAATAAAGAAACTCCTCGTAAAGATTGAAATAAATAACAGAGATTTTACAAGTAAGCCGCTGTGCTGAGTAAAGACGGAAGTGTTTTATCACACTAAAGTCAACAATCGAAACAAAGAGAAACTTCAACGTGTTCTGTCGGTGATTCCTTATGGAAGTGAAACATGGCCGCTTAACACCACCAACTGCAATGACCGTAGCAGTGAACCAACGTAAAATGGAGCGAAACAAAAACGATAAAGATACAATTCTGAATAAACTATAGAATAAAGAAACTCTTCGTAAAGATTGAAATAAATAACAGAGATTTTACAAGTAAGACGCCGTGCTGAATAAAGACGGAAGTGTTTAAAAATAATGATTTCATGTTTTCGGACTGCTTCGAAATAAAACTTTGAGCTTTTATGCTTTTAACAGAGAAGCCATAATTGCTGCAAGCGTGATATCTCTTTTCTTACACTAAAGATTATCTGTCTATATCTCTGAGATGGGGCATTATGATTACTTGTATTATCTACATTATTCGGACACTTCATCTTTATTGCCATATTCACAACGTTTCGGCCGTTGTACGCACCGGCCTACTTTAGGTGATTGAAATTTCGAAACAAACACTTAATTTCGTCCACCTGGGTAGATTGTTCTAGTTCCACGTGACATGCCTCTTCCGGATATCTCAGTTATTTCATTTTAATTCAACTCTCCAAGTTTTTTTTTGTTTCACCACTTCTATGGCCTCACAACTCTTCCTCAAACAGTTGTGAGTTCAATACCAGGCGATAGCAGCGGTGAAACAAAACCTGGAGAGTTAAGTTAAAGGGAAATAACTAAGATATCCGGAAGAGGCATGGCACGTGGAACTAGGACAATCTACTCTGGTGGACGAAATAAAGGGTTTGGTTCGAAATTCTAATCACCTGAAGAAGGCCGAAACGTACAACGACTGAAACGTTGCGAATGTAAATAATGAAAGTAATCACCTTAGAGATATAAAGGCCGAAACGTTGTGAATATGGCAATGAAGATGAGGATAACAATCCGAATAATGTAAATAATGAAAGTAATCATAATATCTCATCCCAGAGATATAGAGGCCGAAACGTTGTGATTATGGCAATGAAAATGAGGTTAACAGTCCGAATAATGTAAATAATGAAAGTAATCATACCTCATCTCAGAGATATAGAGGCCGAAACATTGTGAAGATGGCAATGAAGATGTGGATAACTGTCCGAATAATGTAAATAATGAAAATAATCATACCTCATCTCAGAGATATAGAGGCCGAAACGTTGTGAATTTGGCAATGAAGATACGGTTAACAGTCCGAATAATGTAAATAATGAAAGTAATCATACCTCATCTCAGAGATATAGAGGCCGAAACATTGTGAAGATGGCAATGAAGATGTGGATAACAGTCCGAATAATGTAAATAATGAAAGTAATCATACCTCATCTCAGAGATATAGAGGCCGAAACATTGTGAATTTGGCAATGAAGATGTGGATAACAGTCCGAATAATGTAAATAATAGAAGTACACTAAAGAAGTCAACAATCAAACAAAGAGAAAGTACTACATGTTCTGCCGGTGATGGCTTATGGAAGTGAGACATAGCCGCTCAGCACCACCAACTCTTAGCCAACGTAAAATGGAGCGAATCATACATCACCTTACGGGACAGGAAGATCAACGCTTGGATTCGACGTCAGACTAGACAGAGTAAAGGGCCTAATCAAGACCATCAAGAGGGGACAAACATAGATGGGTTGGCCACGTTTCTCGTCTCTGAGACAACAGGTTGACCGTTAGAGCTACAGAATAAACACCAAGGTAATAGAAAAGAAATAGACGACGGACATAATCAAGATGACGTGACGATCGGAGCCGATATCCCTGCCCACATTGTCTAGTATGACCAGAAATAGGAAGTGATAGAGGCCAACTAGGGTAGGGTTCCTCCAACCGGTGTGTGAAGACCCTGGATTTTTAAACAAGGATGGACGCCATCCGGGCTATCGATTGATTTGTTTTTTTTACGGCTTATACAGGTTATTTCAAGCCAGAAAATATTTTTAGATTGTAATAATTATTTGGAGATGATTATGCTTTACCGATACAAATTCTACTAATTAATCTATAGTTGGGGGAGAAGAGGTGGATTCATACCTTTCCCAAGGGTATTTATGCGTAAGTGAATATAATGAACCTGAGTGAATCGGAACAGGAGACTCTGATTTCCAATTCCGAGCCGTTATCGATTACACCACCTGCACATCCAAGTCTACAGCACCTGGTATCACCCATCTAGATTTTGACTAGGCTGGACGTTGTTTAAATTCGGTAAATCACTTGGTAATTATTCTTGAGAAAACCAATTGAAATATTTCTGTGGATAAGTTTTCCTTTAAATGCTGTCCAATTTACAGTTTTTGTTTATTCAAAGATAAACTGAGAATTGGAGAAGTAAGGAAAAAAAATAACAATTCTGTATTGCATAAAGTATTTTTAAACGGTAAAAAAAAGATAAGATAGAAAAAAAAGAAAAAATTGTGCGTCAGAAGAGGTAAACAAATTAAAAATAATTGTTAAAACAACAATAAAATAATAACGCTAGGGAAGGAAAAAAACCCAGCAAATCAAAATAAAACAACAGAAAGATAGCAGAATAACAAAAGTTAAAGCAGAAACAACAGGCAGATCGTAAATAAGGATTAGATTCGTAATAGAACGACTCGTACTAATATAAGTAGTAAGTGCGGAAACAGGAAAGCGTTAGAGTCAAGGGAAATTTATAGAAAATAAATATAGATTGGAGAGGGTGAGAAGAGGCCCAGGAGAAAAATGAGAGGAAAAGAGAAGAATGAAGTAGAAAAAGAAATAGAAAGCAGATCGTGAAGAGAAAAAAACATTGAAGAATACGAAGAAGAAGAGGATCGAGAAGAAGAAGAAGAAGAAGACAGAAGAAGACAGAAGAAGAAGAAGAAGAAGAAGACCGAGCAGAAGAAGAAGACGAAGAAGAAGAAGACTGAGAAAAAGAAGAAGAAGACAGAAGAAGAAGAAGAAAAGAAGGGATGAAGAAGAAGAAGAAGAAGAAGACCGAAAAGAAGACCGACAAGAAGTAGGAGAAGAAGAAGAGGAAGAAGAGGAAGAAAAGAAGGGAAGAAGAAGACCGAGAAGAAGAAAGAGAAGAAGAAGGAGAAGAAGAGGAAGAGGAAGAAAAGAAGAAGACCGAGAAGAGGAAGAAGACGACGGCCGAGAAGAAGAAGACCGAGAAGAAGAAGAAGAGCAAGAAAAGGAAGAAAAGAAGAAGACCGAGAAGAGGAGGAGGAGGAAGAAGATAGAGAAGAAGACCGAGAAGAAGAAGAAGAAGACCGAGAAGAAGAAGAGCAAGAAAAGGAAGAAAAGAAGAAGACCGAGAATAATAACAATAAGAAGAAGACCGAGAAGAAGAAGAGGAGGAGGAAGAAGAAGAAGAAGAGGAGGAGGAGGAAGAAGAAGAGGGAGAAGAAGACAGAAACCAAAAATAAAGTGGATTAAATTCTTTGGCTATTTTGTCAATAGAAAATGATCTTCTAAGGAAGATAAGTTTTAGGAAATACCATGAAAAGATTTGCCGATCTAAAGAAGAAAGAAGAAAAGAAAGCGAAAGGAAGAGATGTGCAATAGGCAGGGCCGCTCAAAGTACCAAAAACTCGGTTAGTCGCCCGGGGCGCCATCAAAGCCGAAAGCACCATCATGCCGCCATGTTTTGTGTTTATGATCTTCCAAAACTAATGCTTATAAAAACATACTTGCGGTCGTACATGACTTAAGACAAATTAAATTCTTTGGCTATTTTGTCAATATAAAATGATCTTGTAAGGAAGATAGGTTTTAGGAAATACCATGAAAAGATTTGCCGATCTAAAGGCTAGAAAAATGATTTCGGTAGGATAACGAATGTTTTCTTCACCTTGTGTTAAGTTGTATATTGTAAGAAACTCGTTATTCTACATTTTCAGTTTTTCTCCTGGGGCAAATCTTTTACAAATTACTTGTAAGAGCGCCGGAGTTCAGCTTTCATGGGGTGAAAGCAATGCTAGAGTCATCACTGCCAATAGGAGAAAGTTTGTTTTTTTTATTTCAAATCGTCCGACCGCTTCCAACAACGATTACAACGCTGCTCACCCAACGACGAAACGCTGATTGCCTGAAAATTTAAGAGACGAGAATAAGAGCGAAAATGCATTACTGATTTCTTTGTGAAATCCACATCAACGCTTTGAGGTGTGTCCTTGTTCAAGTGATTCCACGAAAAGTCGAGTCCTTTAATTCCGCCATGTTATTGAACATGTCCTTGTTCCTTGGTTACTCCAGTCATAATCCGCTTTGTTTGTACCACAAAATTATAATAATGTTAAGACCGGTATGTTTATAACTTTGATAAGAACACGGAAAGACGTTTATTTTTATAATGACATTATGTTGATGACAGACTCAGAAAGAAAGCCGAAAGAATTTTTAGATGAGGTAATAAAAGGAAGCAAGAGTAAAAGACTAATCATTAATTTTAAAAAGACAGAATAGAAGTTAGCAAAAGAGTCAGATCAAATTGTGAACTACATATTGGGGAAGTCAGAATCAAGAATCCAGTGTGATCTTTGTCAAGACGCGTAAGTTTAACTTGCTCAAAGAAAACTTTTTCAAAGAAATTTATTTTTATACTGTTATGGGGTCCTCCACTTTTTTCATATAAGTGGACTCGACCAGAGTGTTACTTGGACTGCTGTCGTTAAATACCCACAGTCAGTCAGAATATACGAACGGAGATAGAGATAGAGATAGAGATTGTGATTGAGTTGGAGGTAGAGTAATAGTGTGAGGTAACCGCTTGTTGAAGTCAGTTACAAGCACGCCCGACTCTAAGGAAGTCCTACTTCAAGACTGTATATACAGTGTAACCCGGATATAAGAGACCCGGATATAAGAGAAACCCGGATATAAGAGAGATTTTCTCTGGTTCCAAATTAGAGCCTGTGTTAATGTATATAAAATAGACCAAACCCGGATATAAGAGACTTCTTCTCCGGTCCCGACAACTCTCTTATATCTGGGTTACACTGTATATATATATTTATTACGACTTACCGCGTTCCTGGATTTACTAACAGTGTTACCCATTGTATTTTTGTGTAAATACATTTAATTTCTCATCTTTATTTCTTGCGTTTGTCATTCATTGGAGACCGAATTTCATCTCGGATTCCACAACATATACCTTGATATACAGATGACACTATGTCGATTGTAGACTAAGAAAGAAGTCAGAATCAAGAATCCAGTGTGGTCTTTGTCAAGACCCGTAAGTTTAACTTGCTCAAAGACATTTTTAACCATGCCTTTGAATGAATGAATCCTGTAGACATTGGCGAAAACCATCCTTCTTTGAAACTTATGGACTGGCACTACAGAATCGCAAACAAAGAATTGTACAAAATAAGAGAAACCATGTCACTTGACGACTTTCAACAGTAGGAAAAGACTAAAATGGGTATGGCATGTAACTCAAAGAGAAAATGGCGACGTAATAAATATGTTGATTTTCCACATTACACCGAACAAAAGGCTAGCTAGGAAACGCCTTCAATAAAGAGCGATAAATTGAGGAACCTACTTTCCTGAAAACGTATTTTAACATTTTATAAAAAAATTTGTAATATTTTATAAATTTCGACCAAAAGTAGTACTGACTGTTCGGACAATGAATTTTTACTTATAAAGAAACGACTAATATAACGGTTACCATTAGAGATGAGGAGAAGAGATGATATGCTTGATATTTACTCCCGCCACCCCATCACCAACGACGGAGGGCACGAGGCCGATTGAATGTGGGGAGCCGAAGCGCGTGCACATGAGTCTAGGCCCAAAACTACCCAGTCACCGCAATCAACGTCGATATTCTACGAACCATCCCTCATCGGTGTAATTAGGGAGGTGCTGCCGCAGGGTTAGAATCACCGGGACCAGGCATCTCTCATTTATTTGTTACGTTCTATTTTGGATTGTGACAGAAGAGCAGTTGGGAGATTTGTCCGCCCGAAGGCAGATACTACATTTTGATCTCAACCCGATAACCAGAGTGAAGAAAAGCGTAGCTCAAGTAGAACTTTTATTTCCATGTTAAAGTGGACGATGATGCCAAAAATGGTTGGGAATGCCTGAAAGTATACGATCCATAGCCAAAGAAACTGGAGAAATAGTCCGTTCCTTGTCGCGTTCCATAAAATACCTGATTCCTTTCCCAATCCGTACTTCCCAGCCTTGATAGAGTTCAAGGTAGCTTGTGGGCGATGACCTATTTCCTCCTTGCAGTCTCTTTCTCCGTAGACGCAACCTCACAAGCCTCACGCTAATACTATTTCCATGGCAAATGTTCTTTAGCTCCACCAGTTCATAGGGTATAATTGCCATCATTTCCTCCGTATTCCATTTGTAAGAAGGAAGTTCCACTTATTTTTATCCAGAACCGCCACTCTGTGAAACAGACTCCCACTTGGATGCTTCCCTGAACACTGTATTCTTAATTTCTTCAAGTCAAGATTCAATTATATATATCTTCATAATCTTTCCTAATTTCTACTTCCTCTTAGATTCATATTACACACCTCGTCTAGAAAGCTTCTACCTTGAGCGGCTCTTGAATTGAGTGAACTTTTACCGATTATCTGTATACGCATATCATTACACAAATGCTATGAAATACTTAAAATGACATCTAAGGTGGAAATAAGTTACCAATATTTTTGCCAGATTGGTCCGGGAAATAAAAAGAAAAATTATGGTGGTGAAGCCACTACATAGAATCTAGCATAATGGGGGTGATGCTTGCAAAGGAAAAAAAAAAAAAAAAAAAACAACGGAAAAAAAGAAAAGTAAAGAAAACACAAAAGAAAAAATGATAGTCGAAAAGCAGCCATCTTTAATATCGCAAGTTTAATGAAACGACTGAGATAAGATTACGTCACATCCTGTTTTGCCTCGTATCAACAGGGAGCGCTCATCAACAACTGTATACGATTGGACTTGACGTGGGGTCGGCATCTGCGAATGTGTAAGTGAAAACATTGCCGAACTGTGTTGATAACAACGGTTCCTTCCTAAAAATAAAGTGATTTTACGTAGTGTTGAAATATGAAAATAAATATTTAAATATAACTCAAAACATCAGGATAGAAAATTACATTGTATCTTCTCAAGGAAAGTTAGTTCCCTGTGTCGTCTTTTACAATTTTTCTCGTCAGAATCTGTCTTACATCTTTATAAGTCTACCATTCGTCCTTGCTTTGAATATTGCTGTCACATTTGATCTGGTTATCCTGCTGTATATTTAGAGATCCTTGGTAAAATCCAATTAAGAATCGGCAATATTATTGGTTTTGATCTGGCATCTCGGCTTCAATTCCTTTCCCACCGTCGTCACATAGCTTCTCTATGCTTGCCTATAAATTCTTTCATGGTAATTGTTCTGATGAGGTTTTCCTCTATGGTACCTAGACGCTGTGTTGATAACAACGGTTCCTTCCTAAAATAAAGCGATTTTATCGAGTTTTTTTTTTACCTAGACACTATGAATTTAAGCGCAGTTCTAGATTGGTCGCAAGATTTTAACATTTTACAGTTGAAATGGCTACATGGAAACCGTAAGCTCTATGCTAACAGTTTCTTCTTTCGAACTGCTCAATGTGGAACTCCCTTCCGGCTTCTTGCTTCCCAACCAACTTTGATCATCAAAAACTGAAATGCAATGTCAATCGTTAACTTCTGTCTTTTTAATTCCTGTCCTTTTATTGTCCTTAAATCTTAATAACGTTTCTCGTTTTTCTTATTCTTTCTTACCCTGTAATCCCTTGCAGCTTAATGGATTTATTGTCTAACTTGGGGTGAAATGATTAAAAAAGTTTTGCTTAATGTCCTGAAGGATGATAGAGAAAGCGGGAGAAACATCAAAAAAGAGTGAGGAAACACACACACACATATATATATATATATATATATATACATATATATATATATATATATATATATATATATATATATATATATATATATATCATTGATGCATGTTTCATTAAATAATATAGAAAAGTTGTGTCTATTTTAAGTAAGTTCCTTTCATATTGTCTGATAAGATTAATGACATTATTATTGAAAGACGAAAGGAAATCACCATATTGATACATGTTTAAATCCGATCTAAGCTTTCGGCTTACATAATCCATTATCAAAGATGACAATTACATTTCAATATATCAAACAATACACAGACGAAACAATAATGATAGTTTGTTTTTGTTGCATGAAAAATTTCAAAGCAGCGAAAAACTCGTGTATACGGGACGCGGAAGCGACAATCGCATCGCAGCTCGTGACGTCACACATGGCCACGCGAGAGTGAAAACGGGAAGTATTAAGTATGGAAAGCCGTTGGTATAAACCAATGGCGTCTGTTATCAATTATAGGCATTTAAGAATATTTGTGGAGATTTCGTAGTTTATTTTGTTCAGGTGAGGTTTCAATTGTTTTACGTATATAGCTTCAAGAATTTTCAATGATAATGTTATTAAGCTTATCAGACAATTTGAAAGGAACTTAGTTAAAATAAATAGACACAACTTGTCTATATTATTTAATAAAACATGCATCAATGAAAAATTGCTGCCTAAATATACACAATATATATATATATATATATATATATATATATATATATATATATATATATATATTATTTTTTATAATTAATAGGATAATACCAAGGAGGATATAAATCCAATGAGAGCTCAATGCAAATATAATAATGAAAGCGGGCTCCTTAGAAATCCATAGGTAATAATTTATTTCATTGGATCAGGGGTCCATCTCTTCAGACCCAGAAATTTTACACGAATAAATAGACTTTAAATTTATCCAGACTAAATTTATCCTCTTCATAAATTTAAAATAGTTAACCCCCAAACAGGGATCAAAATACTATGAAAGTGTAAAAATAGATTTTAATACCAGAAATACTTTGTAAAAACATTATTACCAGCAATACATTATTACCAGCAATGCATTTAAAAAAAATTACCAACAATATTTTATTGAAAAAAAATATTGCTGGCAATACATTTTTCAAAAAAAAAATTACCAGCTATACTATTTTGAAAAAATATTACCAGCAATAAAAATTTTGTCGGCATTAAATAACCCATTGTGGTTGATAAGCCGTAAAACAAACCAAATCAGACTTGACAATTGTTTTTTATCATTGGCATTCCAAGACAATTGACACTGAATTGGACAAACTACACGCTCCTTGCTGAGCCAACTGGATATGTTCCTTATTTTTTCGGAGTTCCTCAGATTGATTTCTATCACATAAAGATATTCAAAAGACAGCTATATGAAGGGTTTGTTTGTTTAGCGGCATGTCAACTCTTTATGGGTCATTTTTATGGTATTTTTACTATGAAAATATATTTTTATACTTTCATAATGTTTTGTGCCATTTTTTTTTGCTGGTGGGGGCATAACTATTTGCCCATTGCTGGGTCCCTAACAGGTGCTACCAATCTGGGATAGAGTGGCAACAACAGCAATTAAGAGGTGGTTCCGCCACCCCCATAATGCCCCGATCAGACGTCTTGCTGCCGAATGTAGTTTACTGTCATGCCCAGGGCGGACAGTCATAGGATGGACAACTGTATCAGAATATTGTCTACTTCTTTCTAACGGTACAAGGTTTAAGGATATTAAGTTATACACGATTTAAATGAAGTTTTGTTTGATATAAAGGCGTAGCTGAGTGAGCGCCTAGGCGAAACACTTTCGTATAACCTTTCTAGGCTCTAGTGATAGCGAAAAGCTGTTGGACCTATTGTTAACCTTGACAAGGGTCAGTCAGTAACTGCATGCATTTAAAGTTAGCCTCTATCTTATCAATTACTTGTGAACTTTCTACTGATATCTCTTGGGCCAGAGGCTTTCTTAGCCAACAGAATGATTAAAACACACACACACACACACACACACACACACACACACACACACACACACACAACAACAACAACAACAAAAACGATTACTTTTCTAAAGCCTATAGCTTTTTGTACTGCAAACCCTCTAACTTTTGAGTCTGTTGTTCTAACGTTAAACTTGAAGAAAGCATTACTACACAGATTTAAGATCACGAATTATCGTCCTACCCCGAATGAAAAGACACAACTTTAGTATCCTTTTTTCGAAAAAAACTTTTTTTTATTTACTAAACAAAGAGTACTAAAATGTTATGTAATATTCGTTCTCCTCTATTACAGTTCAAAAGTTTGAGGCCATCTCTGGTAATTTTTTTAATTTGTCCCCCAAAATAGTTTGTTTTGTACTTTAAATTAGAGAAAATTATTATACATAGTTAAAACAAAATGACGTTTTATAAGAAAATTATTATGACAAAAATAAGAAAAAAATACATTTTGCTCTCGTCAAAATATCCTCACTGCAAGGAAATATTTTTGGCATTCGTTGCTGTTGTGGATTCCGGGATGAAATCCGGTCTCAAATGAATAACAAACGCAAGAATGAAATATGGCAAACAAATGTATTGACGTAATAATACAATTGGTAATACGGTTAGTAGATCCAGAAATGCGGTTAGTAGCAATAATATATATATATATATATATATATATATATATATATATATATATATATATATATATATATAGTTTAAGAAATTCAGTATCGAAGTATGACTTCCTTCTGAGTCTACGTGCTCGCAACTGTGACTCCTACAAAGCGGTTACCTCACACTCTCACTATATCACTGTATCACTGTCACTCTCTGACTGACTTCTGGGTATTCACCGGCAGCAGTACAAGTACACACTGGGCGAGTCCACTTGGATGAAAAAGGGGTGGACTCCTTAACAGTTGCAAAGGTTTCTCAAAGTATATGTTTGATAATTGATTCCATTCTTTTTTTCAATGACTCTAAGAGCTCTTTTTTAGTGTTTTTTTTTTCATTCATCTGCCAACTTCATCCTTTGCTAATTATGTGGGAGGCTTCAATCTTTTAAACTGTAGAGTATATGGCAATGCTGGATAATCTCATAGATGAAGAAGAGATTTCAAGCAACAGAAATGTGGTTCCATTGAAGGATCCCGAGAACAATGCAAACTGATCACTACGAAGTTTTAGAGTAAATGGAAAAAAAAGGCACTAATACATAGAATCAGCAAGAGAAAATGAGAATTTCTAGGGCACATTATGAAGAAAGAGGTCTTGGAGAATCTGACACCCACAGGGCATACTGAAGACAAGAGACACAGAAGAAGGTAGTGAATAGCCTCACGAGCTTGTTTATTTGGTTGGTTAAAGTGGGTTTAGTAGAGATGGGTTGGTCATAAAGATAAGACCATTTAAATAAAAATAGCAAATACAGAACAAATAAGTCATAACGACAATTTAATTCTTAATATTTCCTCCATCTTTGCGAATTATTTGGAAAATTCGCTTTGGCGTACTCATTATTAACTTCTGTATGAGGGTGCTTGAGGTGCTTGCCCAGGATGCATAAAGTGCAGCATGAAGAGCATCCACAGTTTCAAATTGTGATCCATGTTTATAAGCATCCTTTGCCATCTATCTCCAAACATTCTCGATTGGGTCTCAATCTGGAGACCATTGTGGATTGCAGCATTGTCCTACTGGAAAATCCAGTTTTCTCCACATAGATGAGGGCCTTCAGTAATTAGTGATACCTTTCTTAACATGTCAATGTATCTAGCAGCTGTTTGACGACCTTTTGCCTCCTGTAACTCAAGGGTTCCATTGTGCGAAAATAAGCCCCAGACCATAATTGATCCACCTCTACGGTATCGTGTTGAGAAAATTTCTTTTGGGACATCTTTTCCATGCCAGTAATACTGAAAACTGCCTTCTCGTCTGAAAACAACACTTTATTCCATTTATCCACATCCCAAGTTTGATAATCGGAAGCAAATTTTAAACGGGAGGTTTTATGGCGAAGAAGAAGGCGAGTCCTTTGCAGCCGTTTCAAGTTCTTAAACCCTTTCTTATTTA